GAACGTTGACTCCATGAACAACCCAAAGGACCCTTTTGTTGCCTACATCAAGAAGTATCTCGAGTTCAAATTCTTAAACCCAGTGCTCATGTTAGTAGGTATGAGGCTTCTGCACACCTAAGCTCTTAGCCCCTGGCATGGTGCATTAGGGACTGATCCTACAAGGTGCTGAGATACCCTTATTTCTCATTAATTCAGGGTCCCCTTGCCCTTTCAGGAGGTGTTCAGCATGTCGTTGGACTAGGCCCCCAAAAGGGTTCATAAAGGTGCTAACATAGAAATCATGGTAAAGACCCCATTCTTATGGCCATTGCAGCACTGTGGTAACTGTGTCTATGGTGAACCCCTCCAGGCCAAAATTAAGTGAATGCCAAGGTCAGGTGGAAAAAGTATTTCTTCTATAAAGGAATGTGAATGGAGCAGAGGTGTACACGTCAGGACATTTCCAAGTGAAATTCAGATCCCTCCACACCTTTCCACTGGCAGGAAGTCAGAGCTGGGCTGGGTTCATGGGGCGTCTCCAGCTGTGGTTCACGCCGGCAGCACCAGGACGAGTGGTTTGCCAGTTATTTTTGTTGAGGTGCCCTGACCTTGCTCCCCCTCTTGCTGTGCCCTGTTGCTCCCTGTTCTCTGAAGACCTCTTGGCTGAACATCAGTGTTTGCAATTCAGACCCATGTTTTGTTCCTTTCCTTTTCAGTGGTGTTCCCCTTTCTGACCCCTGTTCTGAAGAAAATGAATGTGACTGTGATGCCCACAGGATTCATGGACTTCTTCTTCAATGTCCTCAGGAATATAAAGGAGGAACGGCAAAAGAACAGAAACACGGTCAGTCCAGCTCATGTGCCTTCTGTCTTCTTGTGGGCTCTCACTCTAGGGAAGTCCACTTGCATCTCTTGACGATGCACAGATGCTCTTGGTATCAACTTTCAGTTGGCCAAGCTTGGGTGGGCTCAGAGAAGGATCCTATTTAGGCATCTGTGGAAACATCCATTTCTTTCCAAATGAGCTTTCAGCCTGTCACTTCAAGAATTTCAGTCATCAGGCCAGAAGGTTCCCCAGGACCCTGTTGTGCACTGAGGATGCAGTTAGTGTTGAACCTGTGTTGGACCAGCTTACAGGATTTTCCCTCTTTCTGTTCCCAGGAGCGGGTGGATTTCTTGCAGCTGATGCTTGATGCACAGAACCCAGATGACCGCTCCAGACCGAAAGAGGAGAAGCACGCATATAAAAGTAAAGCTGTAGGCGCCCCCTCCCCCCAAGATGGTGTATAAGGGGTAGTAGTTAGCACCTTTAAAGACAACTTCCAAGAGGAAGGAATTTGGGCAAATGGCTCAGGCCCATATCTGAGAAACTTGCCTGGAAATGAGAGGCACCAAGACCCATCAGGAAAGATTAATATGTGCTTATTGGGTGTATTTTTAGACTGTAGAAATCAAGCCGCACAAATATGATTTGTCGATAATTAATTTTGTCTCCCCTCCCCACCTGTTATTGTTGCCTTGGATTGAAAGCCTTTTGGGCAGGGATACTTTCTTCCTTGCGGAGTCCCAAGCTACTACGCCGGTTGCTAAAATCCTGCATTCTCTGAGTTTCGCCCTTCCTGTATGCGTTTGTCTCTCCAGCACTGACAGACACTGAGATTCTGGCACAGGCTCTCGTCTTTATACTTGCTGGTTATGAGACCACCAGTTCCACTCTCAGCTTCATCTCCTATAACCTGGCCACTCACCCTGATGTGCAGCAGCGGCTGCATGAAGAGATTGATGCTGCTCTCCCCAACAGGGTAAGATCTTTGGTGCTCTGTTTCCAGCAGTAGCATCCTGCTCAGAGGCTGATCCCAAACCCCGCTGGAAGGCAGACTGTTCTCCATACAGGACACCTCAGCTACGGTGGGTGACAATCACACATGTGCACCAGTTGAATGCAGGCTTCCTCTGGTCAGAACATCCCAGCACTAGTGGGGAGGTGGAGATTAGGCCTGTGCGAATAGGTAGCTATTTGTTCTGGCTTTGGATCCAGCCGCTCCGAATGGTTGTGATCTGATCTGGAGCTCCTGACTGGATTCCTGAATTCCTGGATTTGAGAAGCCTGCCAAGTTTCAGGAAGATCAGTGCAGGGGTTTGAGGGAAACTGTACCCCAAATTCTTGAAAGCAAAACTCATGTCACATGTGTGTGGTACATCACATGGGGGTGAAAACTGCAGGGATGGTGGCCCCTTGTGAGGCCACAAAGCCTGCCAAGTTTCAAGGTGATAGGTGCAGGGGTTTGGGAGGAACTGCACCTCAAGCTGCGGACAAGTAAAACTCATGACATGGGTGACACTGCACGTGTTAAGGCGCAGCAGGGTGACAGCTGCAGGGATGGTGGCCCCTGCTGTGGTCACGAAGCCTGCCAGTTGTCAAGGAGATTGGTGCAGGGGGTTCTGGGGCCCTGCACCTCCAGCTGCTGACAGGCAAACTCAGGACATGGGTGCTTGTGCAACTGACTGTATCTGTCTTGGGGCAGTTGATTGTCTGTATTGATTATTTCCTCCCCTTAGTCTGTGGTTTTGTAGGGGTCAATCCTTGCTAATTAGCTTGTTAACACCCCAGAACTCCCCTGCACTGATCTCCTCGACAGCTGGCAGGTGTCATGGCCACAGCAGGGGCTAGCAGGCTGTGCCTTAACACACACAGTGTCACCCATGGACATCATGCTCTCAGCAGAGGCTACCATCCCTGCAAGTTTCATCCAAATCAGACAAAAAACAACGAAGTTATAGATATTTCACTGATTCCCCATTATACCCTATAGCCAGATCTCCGAGGTGGCTCCAAAGCTTTTCCAAAGTGGTTCAGAAGCTCTGAGCCACTTCGGACAGCCTATCAAAGCCAGCGCTTCAATCCAAACATGCTGCTTCGGATGCCACACACCGCCCTTGTGGCGATACCCCATGAAACATCCCTTAAAAGACTGGCCTCTCTGTGTCAGGTAGTGCCTAAAAGTGGGAGCAGGGTTAAGAAGAGAAAATGAGGCCACTCCCTCCTGTCTACCTCTAAGCAAATTTTGAAGTAGAAGTGAGAGGGTGAGGATGTTGTAGACATAGAAAAGCTTCGTGGTGCCAATACCTGCTTGACAAGGGCTCATTAGTCTTAGGTTCACCCGTGGTACACTACAATGCAGTGTTTAAGGAAGCTGGGCATCAAACTTCTTCTCCTGGGTCACAACCGCACTGCAACATGCAGGTCTGTTTCGGATAGTTACTGTGCTCATAGGCAGCATGGTAAGCTTTGAGAGAGCTTCCCATGGACCTAGAAGTCCATTCCACTCTGCCAATCTCTCCCAAGGCCAGTCCCGCCTATGAGGCCGTGATGCAGATGGAGTATCTTGATATGGTGGTGAATGAAACACTCAGACTCTTCCCCCCCGGCGGGCGGATTGAACGTGTCTGCAAGGAGACCACTGAGATAAACGGAGTGACCATTCCAAAAGGGACTCTCACCGTGATCCCAAGCTACGTGCTGCATCGTGATCCAGAGCACTGGCCAGAGCCAGAGGAGTTCAGGCCCGAGAGGTAAGGGCGGAAGGGCGGGGGGGGGAGGAAGAAATGCAAATTTGTTGTTCAGCCAGCTCATAGAAACTGCAACAATGGTGGGGAAAGTGTGATTACATTTAAATGGGGCTTTTATCATTGTTTGACATCTAGTCCCAGTATTTCCATGCAAGGAACTTTACAGTCTGCATCCATGGGCTGTGCATGGAATTTAATTAACTGTATTGAAGAAAATGACAGTAAGACCAGCTGCCAGCAGCTGCAGTATTGATGGGTTCATGGCCAGAAATTAAAACAAGAGCCATTGGGGACTGGCATGATGCCATGCAAATTAGCATGTGGAAAGGCAAAGACTTTGTGACCTATCCTGGTCTGACCTTTTGGTGATCCCTAGAGCTCTGGATCCTTTCCTCATTGCCCTGCTGAGTAGCCTCAGAGTTTCTGACCCATTTGGCTCTTGGGACACCTCTTCTCCCTAGCAAATATGAGTCTAATCAACCCCCTAACTAGACCTTACATCTTAGTGTGGGAGAATTTCTAATAGAGATGTGGAGTCCTTTGGAAATTTTGCATGGAGGTTTGGTCCCCTTTGAATTGTCAGTATGGGTATATATATACTTTTGCTGATCATACTCATCTTTCATGGAACCCTTAGACATGATCCACAGATTCCCAGATGTCCATATACCATAGGTTGAAAACCACTAGTTTAAAGAGTTACTTTCTCTTGTGAAAGTCCTGTCCAGTGTTGCATGTGTCTTCAGCAGCTAGCAACCATCCTATCCTAGTGATCTTCCAGCTCCTACCTGGCTTCTGTCTTTCCCCAAACTCAGTGTAACTTTTCCTTTTTTCCCCCAGAAGACTTCTTTTAAATTTTCTCATCATTAATTCCTCATCTCTCATCCCCCATTCTAATTCCCAAGGCACTTGTTAACTTTGGCAGATTATTTCCTTCCAAGGCCTGGCATCTACCTGCTAATTGGACTATTATGTTCTACTTTGATTTGTGCCAGGCCGTACTTGCATACACATTTCCATGAGCAGAAGGGTGCTCCCCTGCCCTAAAATTATTCTATTCCATACAAACATTCCCAGAGTTTTGCTTCCTACCTGTCTCATGGGTATGTTAATATATACTGGGCCATTGTCTAGTGTCACCAGAGATGACTACAAACAGACTAATCATTTCTTGTTTAGGTTGGAACACAAGAACACATTTTGTATCAAATACCATGTTTCACACAAACATAAATCATTATATTTATAAAAAAAGTTGACTGTATCCTTAGGTGTTGACTTTCATAGTCTTTCATAGACTTTCATAGACATTAGGGCTGGAAGGGACCTCAGAAAATCGAGTCCAGCCCCCTGCCTGAAGGGCAGGAAGTCAGCTGGGGTCATAGGATCCCAGC